ATTATATACCACTGGTCTGCAAACTTTAAGCTCATAGAATCTTAAGAACGTTAAAACGAAGACAGCTGGGCGCCTGCACCTGAGTTCCTATGGTAAGGTTTCCAGCTGGAGCTGGTGCTGCTGATTTGGGGATCACGCAATGAGAAAAACATTCTTACTGATAACTGCTCTGGACCCTCAACTCACAATGCTCTGTGACAAAAGTGTCAACATTGCTATCCATAGAGTTTTCATTGGCTAATTTAAGGAAGTGGAATACCAGACCTTTCTTCCTAGTCTTTCTTGCTTGAGAAGCTCTTCTGAAACCTGTTCAAAACCACAGCTGTACTCAAGCCTCCACTGACAGACTGCTGGTGGCTGCACTTCATGGGCATTGACCAGGAAGTAAACTGGGGTTGTCCCACTTGGAAGGTGAGATTGTACCGTTGAGCCACCACTGCTGCCCTCTGATTTTCATGAACACCACCCACAGCAAGAATGTTTGGCTCAACCTCCAAAGAACTGTGTGTATGTGTTTTCAGGGGGTCAGTGGGGGGGGGGGAGGGCAGGCAACATCTGCAGGTCCACCCGTATGTCTCTTCCTTTGTTCTTTCTGGTTGACTGCCCTTGCTTTTGTACCCAGGAGTCTACAGGTCTCACTCTCAACATTTTTGTTTACTTAAACGACTTGAAGTCCACCTAAGTGAGGTGCACAAGCTTAATAGCCATGCGTGGAAGATTGAGGGCAATCATCCTGCTGCATCACAGGAGCACTGCATTTAAGTAGTGGTAACGAGGTGCATCATTCCTGAGAAAAACCCATCATTTTGCAGGATTGGTAAAATGCTGCTATTAAGCTCTGCATTATCTGTGCATCAAAGTCTTTATATCTGAGAGCGGAGGGAGAGTCTTCCTTTAGATGCGCTGTTGTCATTCTAAACAATGGAATGGAGTTCCCTCCTTGATATTTGTTTGAAAAAGAATGAGATACATAATTTGACATTTGAAGATGTATTCTGAAGGATCAAATTTATCATACTTTAAGTGGAATAATATTTTAAATGAAGCACTGCAAAACACAATGCCCCATGCATCAGGGCTCTGTAAGGAGGCCTCGGAGGGGACCACACAAGACCACCCAGCCAGCAGGGGAGAGCCTCGGTTGGTCTGCGTCACCTAGATAGATAAGTCCCCAGCTGTAGTCTGGGTTTCTCAGGCTTAAACACGAGTAACTCTGATGCCTGAGGATTTGGCAAGACAGATCTGAGGTCAGGGCTTTCTCCGGTACTGGAAGCCCCAAGGTTAAGAAGAGATTGAGGTGCTAACATTTTCTGAATGCCCGTAGATGAAGGTATGTGCTGAGTTGCTAACCTAGCAGTTCAAAACTACCGGCAGGAGACAAGGCTGTCTCCTCTTGTAGAGAGTTACTGCCTTCACAACTCACAGGAGCAGTTCTACCCTGTTCTATAAGATTGTGTGGATTTGATGGCAGTCGGGTTTTGTGGGTGAAGGATGTTAAATTTACTATTGGCGGCTAGTAAAACAAACAGATCTCTTTTGGAAGAAGTACAGTCAGAATGGCCCTTAGAAAGGAGGATGGTGGGGCTTCCTTTCACTTACTGTGGACAGATTTCAGCAGGCCAAAAAGGAAACCATGCCTGTTGTGGTTGACGGTTGGTGAGAACGAGGAAGACCCTCGCCAAGATGGCTTGATACAGTGGCTACAACCATGGGCTCAATCCTAATACTTGTGAAGATGGCCCTGAATCTGTCCATGCTTTGTACTTGGGGCATTGTGTGCTGGAGTCCACTTGCTGTGCCCAGCAGCAACAGTGGGAATGAGGAGCTGCCTCACCTTGGTGGACTCCCTGGCTCTAGCCTGAAGTCTGTCCATGGTCCTCCCTGCTCATCCACATTTTCTCTCCTCAATCCAACTCCAAGTCTTTTCCACTTGGAGTGCAAGGTGCCTTACAGGTAGAACCAGATCTCACTTCACTTCATAGAAAAAGAGATACTGTATATACTCGTGTATAAGCCGAGTTTTTCAGCACCTTTTTAATGCAGTTTTTGTGGTAAAATTAGGTGCCTCAGCTGATATTCCGGTTGGCTTATCCTTGAGTATATACGGTACCTTATTATGCTCAATGGTTTACTAGGATTTTGTTTTTTTAGCTTCCCTGTTATTGTGACCCAAGTAATTGTACTTAATGTAATTAGAATAACCTCCCTTACACAATGTATTTCCTCTGAGGTACTTTACCGAATGCAGTCTCTGTGGAGCTTTAATAGCACAGTACATAGCTCAAAAGCTGACAGGTTGGATGTAGATGTTGTCTAAAAGGACCAAATCATTCTGAGAGTCTTCTCTTGTTTACCTGACTGTTGGTAATTTAAAGCCAGTCCCTGCTATCTAGTTAGTCAACAAAAACACCCTGTGATTAGCCTAACACCCAAGGAATGTTATTGTGCTATTTGCTTGCTGATGGTGAGCAGCTGTTTCTTGGGATTACCTTGAAACCTGTGTTAAATTCCACAGCCAAAGGTATATATTTTCTACGTATTCTGATTTCAAACAGGACACCACACAGTCTGTTTTGCATGGCTCTGGTTTCCTTGCTGGTATACCTAACTGAAACTCCTCTTTCTTTCTCAGTCTGCCCCAAAGTGAGTTAACTGGCTGCATCACTTCAGGGTCAAACACTGCATTCCAGACAGCATTATGGAAGGTGCAAGAGGTCGCATCCAGTCATAATCAACACCGAGCACAACGAAGGTATAGATAGGAAGGGCACCCCGAGGTTAGAAAGGCCAGGCCAGAGACGTGGGCATTGAACGGATTGGGCTAATGCTTCTCCACGTGTAAGAAAACAGCTTCCTGTTTCTCCGCTGTGTACCAACAGGTGATTCTAGCCCATTTTACCATTGCCAGTCAGCAGTATGGCAAACGGTACTCAGTTGTGGTCTCACCCTCAACGTTTTATTTTCGATCACTGTAGCGTCTTGCAAAGGTGCTAGCCAAATATAAGGTACCTGTGATCTCTTTGCCCAGTGTGTACACGTGTCCGATCTCACAGAACGACAATGAGACTGACACGGGTAGGGAAACAAACACTTCCAACGTTATAAAGAGCACACCTGTTGCCTTTTAATAAACACATCCACTGCCCACCCCCTCCGTTACCCTCCCCCAAATCAACACATCCACTAGTCCCCCACCCCACCCCACCCCGTGACCCTTCCAAAAATCAACATTCCCAACTCGTGGCCATGGAGGCAACTCTGACTCATAACCAGCCCCCAGGGTAGAGTCGAACTGCCTCTGTGGTTTCTAAGAGTGTGACTCTGTGAGCAGAGAAAACCTTATCTTCCTCCTGCACAGCGGCTGGTGACCTTGCAGTTAACAGCCAAACACATAATCCACTACGACACCAGGGCTCTTTCCATTACCCCTGGCAGCCACTAATCTTTTCTCATTTCTATAATTTTGTCTTTTCAAGAATGTGATATAAATGGGAATCGGTTCTCCCTTATTTGGGGAACAACACTGTGTTCCCTTTCTACATTTGAGAGATTTTTTTCTATTCTTTGAGTTTTCATATTTCAACTATCCTCAATTTATATATACTTGATATCCCTTCTACTATAAGGAAGGTGTGGTATATTTCTGGGTGTAGGGCTTTCTGTGTAGGACATTATGTTATTTTTAAAGAGCACATTTTGTAGTTATTGTGACTAAATGTCTCATTGTTTCATCCTGTGATTTGGGATCATACTTAGAAATGCCTTTCAATTTGGTTTTTAAAGAAAAATAACACACATTTTCTTCCAATATTTCCTAATGTTTTATCATTTTATCTCTTTATTTTTGAAAAAGTCACATCATCATCACTATGGCTCCATGAGGAAAGATCTTATTTTCAATTACCCGGTTTTCATTAAAAAAAAAGAACTACACATTTTTAGCTGATCCCACTCATTAGTAATTGCCATATGTACAGTACCATGACCACAAGACTTTTAGGAAGTCAAAAACATTCTTTGTGTTCTCCTACAGTTTTATAACAGTATAGGGAAAGAGAAATCAGTCTTTTTCTTCATAGTCTTAATAAAACAATTTTTGATGATGACTACTATTAATTTTTCACAGAAATGCTCGGTGAAAAACAGGACACAATATTATGAGTAATATGAAGCCAATTAACATAACCTGCTAATTCCAATAATGTCTGCTGCGAAGTAGAAGGAGACAGATGGCGATCCCAGCCCTGCCTGCTGGGGGCTCTCACGTGGGACTTCACTCAGGACGAGCTCCTCAGTGAAGCTCTGTGAACAGAGCCAAGGGGCTGCGGGACAGGCCTGGCTCAAAGCCATGTCTCGTCAGCAAAAGACCGCAAAGAACCAGCCCTCCAGCTGAGAGAGGAGATGAACAGCTCCTTTGGATTTATCCTTACTTTTATATAATCGAAGTATCTATAAAAGAAGTTTGTATCATTAGATATCTAAATAATGAAAGCCATGGTCTTTATTGTTGTGGTTTTATCATTCCTTGTTTTGGGAAGCTTACAAGGAAACAGCTGCATGAGATGCAAAAGGGATCAGTTCGCTGCACACTGGCCCCTTGTTAACATACCTTTCATTCCTAGTCACTCAAGCCAAACTCACTGCCATCGAGTGGGTTGCTACTCATGGCAACCTTAGAGGGTAGAACTGCCCCTGTGAGTTTCAAAGGCTGTAACTCTTTAAGGGAGTCAACACCCTTGCTTTCTCCCAAGGAGCCGCTGGTGGTTTCAATCTGATGACTTAGCTGGGAACAGTCCAGAGCATAACCTCCACACCATCTGGGCCCCTGACAGTCATTCCTCATCATATATGAATCATAACCAATATGGACACAGGGAGAGAGGTGGCTCCTCTGGATCTCCCTCTGTGGCTGTTCTCCTTTGTCAAGTCAGTCACCAGGTCTCTGACGTTGTAGGGTAAATGAGAAATAATAGCATCCCTGTTTTTGCTTTTGTTTTAAGGGACTGTGGGCCCATCCACCAACTTGCTATAAATGGAGTGAGCAACATCAGGCCCGAAGGGCTGAGCTGATGCCTGCAAGCCATCATGTGGATCCGAATTCAGAAGTAAAGAAACTGAGATGGCAAGTGGAAGAACTGAAACAGGAACTTAACCGGAAGGACAACAAGGTAACTTTTAAAGTACACTCACGCTGGGCATCTTCAAGATAGTGTTTGATGACCTGTATAGAACATCCCCTTCTTTATTAACTTAGGGTGTGAATTGGGACAAAAGCCTCTATACCTTAATCACTAAAAATCAATAAGTAATTGAAGTGTCAGGAAAGGAAAACAAAAGCAAACAAAAATGACATGGTGCTCGTAGTTTTCCACTGAATTTCATTATAATTGATTTGTATTAGATAAGTGCTCAATAACTTCAACCAGGTTGAAGTTCCAAGTGTTACACTCTAAGCGTACACATCAGAGAATTGAACACAAGCATCCTTCCCCCTGCGCTCGCTACGTATCCCACGTTCCTGTGGAAGGTGAGCTGGCTAATGGTTTAAGGAGTACTCTAGAAGGTTCCAGAAGGTGTGGGTCCAGTGTAAAATTCTGAGAGCATACTTATAACGCTGAGATTTTAACAGACAACAAAGAGAGACATGGTTTGGTTTTGTTGCTTTTCTCTGAAGGGAAGTTTCAAATGTCCACATGATGGTGAGGTCAATGCTGTGGGGCAGCAGAAGTCCCAGGTGGGGATCCAGTCACTGTGCCTGCTCCTGGTGAACAATGTTGCGGACCAAGAGCAGAGTATTATGGTTACAAAGACTATTTTTGGATAATGCCAAACCATTTTCTCCGGGTTAATTTGGTGACCAAATATCCTGGTTGACAAATCTGTGTGTTGCGATTTAGGCTTTAGTCTTCATTGTTCCAATCAAAGAAGCAATAGCATCACGTGAAAATGGAACCATTTGGCCAGTGAGGCTCATGCGATGCTTGCTGCTCTTATTGCCAGTGAGCTGATTGTGATTCATGGTGGCCCTGTGTGAAACCAGAGCAGAGCCCAGGCCTGCACCAGCTTCACGGTTGCTATGTTGGAGTGCCTTGTGACAGCCACTGTGCCAAGCCGTCACCTGCAGGGTCTCCTTGTTTGCTAAGCCGCGATTTTGCCGAGCAAGATGTCCTTTTCCAGGAGCGGTCCTTCCTGATGACATGCACAAAGAATATAAGACCCAGTCTACTTATCTTTACTTCTTAAGAGAACCCAGCATGTCCGTCCTCTAGACAGATTTGTTTGTTCTCTTCCCAGTCTTTGGTACTCTCATCAGTCTCCGCCCGCACTATAATTCAAATGCACCCATTTTCCTCCTGTCTTCCTTGACCGTTGTCCATTCCACGTGGTTATGAGCCTATTAAAAATGGCTTAGTTGTGAAGTTGACTTTAGAGTGACAACTTTGCTCTCCTACATTAAAAAAAAGTCTTGTGTAGCGTGTTTGCCCAACCCAGTATGTCATTTGATTTCTTAACTGCTGCTTCCATGGTGTAAGCTAAATTATATTGTATGTGTTTTATCTTTCATCTGGATCCTTCTTATGAACCTCTTTGTGTCCCGGATAATGCTGGAGGTATACGTTGGAATCCATTTTGAACTAGTACATTGGAAGAAGAATATAGGAGAAGCTTCAAGCGAATGCTTCGGATTTTAGTTGTATAGTCACCATTGTTCCTGCTAATACTTTGAATAGGAGAGAATTTGTTGGGTAGCAAAATGAATTAGCTTATGCATCCATAAATATGGGTTGTAAGGATTTCCTTGGGACTGAATTAGTTGCAGAGAAAGAGTGACATACTTAGGACTCCTGGGCCAATGAGGATCTGATTCAGTCATGAGCAGTGGTCTATGGAGGGTCATCCTATTTACTCCTCCCTGTTAGAGAAGAGTTCTTTCCATAATGTCACCTCAGTCATGTGCATGTCTTTTTGCTTGTCAAGGTCAAATGAGCAAAAACAATGGGTGAAACTTACCAGTCCAGAACTCTGCTACATTTCCTCAGCATGTCTAAACTCAGCTTAATTCTCGCCATGTGAAATTAACATGGCACATGCTGTTTGTGGCCCACAGTGGAATTCAAATAGCTTGGCAAACCACAGAAATTTTGGAGCTATTTGTTACTCCAGTATAGTTTAGTTCAAGAACTGGTATGAACATTAAAAACAAGTAAATCAATTTATATATAAAACGGGCCTTCAACTTAAGTGACCTTTTATCTTGGGATTAAAGAAACTGACTCGTCAAAGTTTGAAATAGTCCAGCTTCCCCAAACATCTATGCACAGGAAATAGGCTTTGTATGTTGTCAACCTGCAGCTAAATAATTCTCTTCATGACTATCTGCAGATATCACCAAGGTACATATAATAAAACAGGAAGAACCTTCTGGAAAGCAAATAACCATAGTAGCCCCCTGTGGTAGGCAGGGTTCTCTAGAAAAACAAAATGAGGACACTATGTTTTTATATCTATATAGGTTTATATAGCGAGAGGGGTTACAATAGCTAATTAGTCCACATAGAAGTACAGAGGACTCAGTCCAACTCACTTTGGTGGGGCAATTAATGTACTGAAGATCCTTCCTACTCATGCTGGCTGCTGGTCCGAGGTCAAGAGAGCAAACAGTGAAGTGGCTGCCAGGGGGTAGAGTCTGTCTGCAGGCAGCAGACACAGCAAGGTAGGGTGGCAACAGGAGGGAGATGAGATGTCCAGGTATAGCAGAGGCCAGCAGTGCAGCAGCCGTATACTGAAGCAGGTTGTGATGGAGCCTCAAGACACAGTGATACACTGCACAGTGACAAGATCCATGAGTTGGCTTGCCCATAGGTGGCGCAGCACACAGCTGAGACAGCAGCTAACTCAGGCAGCACCATTATGGTCTGTCTGATCACCAGGGAGGAAGAGGAAGAGGCTGGCCTCAGAGAGTCATTTGTCTCGGTTGCCCTCCAATCAAGCTATGACCCGGTTGACATACTAAACTCTGCCCACATGTCCCTAAGGGAACCATGCAGGCATTAAAAAAAATCACATCCCCATACTCAGGGAGCAGAGCAAGGGCAAATAAAGGAACATTCCCCATGCAAAGTGCAGGATGCCCTGCTCTGCTAGATTTCAGAAATATTTCCTACTTCCCCATTCTATATGAAAGTGTGTGTGTGTGTGTGTGTGTGTGTGTGTGAGATTTTCTTGACCAATTTTCATGATAAGGGAGCCTAGAAACAAAGTAGTTAGTCACTGTGGCTGTCAGTTCACCATCATGTGGGCAGCTTGAACCCACTAGCTGCTCTGTGAAAGAAAGTCGTGGCAGTCTGTTTCTGCAAAGGTGGCATCCTAGGAAATCCTGTGGGGGAAGTTCTCCATCTTACAAGGTTGACATGACAGCAATAGGTTTGATTTGGGGGTTTGTTTTAGCCATAGTGTATTATTGGTTGTATAAGTCGGTATAGATAAAATACTATCGATCTGGATTACAAAAAATACATATCTAAGTCTGATATATACATTGTTATGACATGCCAGAATTTAGACAGATGCTATAATTGTAGCGTTTTTGTGTGTAAAGGAATCTTGGAGTAGTGAAATATATTTAGTGAAGAAGGACGGAAAACAAATGTTGTATGACCATTCAGGTAGACGATGTAATATTGAGTGTGTGTGTGTGTGTGTGTGTGCGCGCGCGCGCGCGCGCATGAGCATGTTTCTTCTTTTGTCAGTGACAGGAATACGATTCCTAAATCATAGTGACTGGTGTAGCCCTGTGACTTATTTGGAGTACCAAATGTGTGCTGCTTTCCAATAGAACCTTATGTAATCCCTGTGGAGTATTTGGATATATTTATTTTTGAAATCTGAAAATAGGCACATGGAAATGCATACTCAAACACTCAAAATGCTTTGCTGATCTGTGTCCAGTCTCAGTTATAAGAGAAGATTGACCCCAGCCTTAGCAATTCATATGGGTGCTGTAATCTGAGTTACTTGATTGTGGTTGTCAAGTCTTCAGCTTTATCGTACACGAGTCACTGCTCCTTTGGAATGGATGTGTATGTCATAGAAACAAGACTTTTGCTTTTGATGGCAATCGACGTTCCCACAATTTGACTTACCAAAGAAAATTCTGTCAGTTACACTGCTGCGCTTTCTTACATTTTGTAGTCACAAATTCTTCAAATTACATATAATGAAGTTAGCATTTAATTAAAACTGTCAAATACAAAGTTTTCAAATTCTGCAATCAATGGAATATAAATAAGTGAAAATGAGATGTTAATTCTCTCTACTCTAGAGATAATAGACACATTTGTGCCATAAGAGAAAACTGCAGGCGCTGATGCAAACAATTGAGCAACTGTAAAAGAATTCCTTTCAGATAAGTTGTTTTTCTTGAAGTAAGCTTGCAAAATCGAATTTAATGCACATTTTTATAAGGTAGACATTAATTACTAATATTGTATTAACGTTTTTCTGTGAATAGATATTAGATAATGTCAATATTTAAGTGAGATTTTGGTATTAATGACCAAAATCCAACTCACTGCCATGAAGTTGATGCTAACTCATAGTGACCCTATAAGGCAGGGTAGGTTTGCCCCAATAATTACTTAGATTGTACATATTTCTGGGAGTAGAAAGCCTATCTTTCTCCCGACCAGCAACTGGTGGTTTGGAACTCCTGACCTTGGGGATCCAAGTCCAGTGTATAACCACTGACAGAGATTTCAAATGTGTCCACTGGTGGCTCTCCTTCCTTTATGGTCCTGGTACTCTCTGTGTTCTTGCTTCCGAGATGGCTCTTATTTGAGACATTCCTTTGATGGGGGTTTGTGTTTGTCTTTTGACAGACCATAGTATCAACTTAACAAATGGTAACGGCTTGGTTCCCACACTCTACTAAGGTGTAGAGGTGACTCCACTTTAATCCTGTCCAGTAGCGTAACAGAGAACTCCCTCTAACAGAGGATAATAAACACAGTATTAGAAGCCAGAAATTATAACGCATCACAAAATGGATTATGGCTTGTTGTTCTTAAGTACCATCCTGTTGATTGTGACTCAGGGATCCAATGGACAACAGAACGGAACACTGCTAAGTCCAGCACTGTCTTCGGAATTATTGATTTGTTCAAGATGA